AGCAGGAGACCATCGACACAGAGCACGCGTACCTCAATGTCGTGACGCGCGGAGATATGTCGAGCTTGAAGTGGTTTGACGCTCACCACAAATACTTCCCTAATCTTCCCGACAGCGAAAAGAAAGAGCAGGAAGTGTTGTGTAATGTCTACTACTCTGCCCTCAACTTTAAGGTGAACTTATTATAACAATTGACAAATGATTGTAATATTAATTGAATATCGTTTCGATAGGATGTGGTGTTAGTGTCGGGTAAGATACAGCCCGGACCGGAGGGCGCCCTCTTTGACTGCATCATTGGTCTGGAGTTCGCGGGCCGTAGGAGTGATACCGGGCAGCGAGTGATGGGAATGGTTCCCTTCAAAGGCATCGCCACAACACTTCTCACTTATAAGGACTACTTGTGGGACATTCCGGACCACTGGTCCATCGAAGACGCGGCCACTGTTCCCGTGGTTTATGTGACCGCTTATTACGCGCTTATAATGCGTGGAAGTCTAGTGGAGGGCGAGTCAGTGCTCATCCATTCGGGCGCCGGTGGTGTAGGACAGGCCGCTATCTTCATCTGCCAGAGTATGGGTTGCGATGTGTTTGTGACCGTCGGTAATGACGAGAAACGGGATTTCATGAAAAGAAAGTTCAATATTCCCGACGATCACATCGGGAACTCACACGACGTTACTTTCGAGAGACAGTTCATGACTGTTACTAAAGGCAAAGGCATTGACGTTGTCCTCAATTCACTCACTGAAGACAAACTTCAGGTCAGTTAGCAGTCATTTCATGGATTGTAGGAAAATATGTATTCATTTCTATTGTCATGTTTTTAGGCATCGCTTCGATGTTTGGCACCGAATGGAAGATTCCTTGAGATCGGGAAATACGATATGCAGATGAATAAGAGTTTGGGATTATTTGCATTCCTCAACAACATCTCCTTCCATGGCGTGGGACTCGACTGTATCTTCCGAGAGGGCCCGTCCTCTAAGAAATTGAAGGCATTTATGAAAGAAATGACTCGACTTCTCAACGAAGGCATCAAAAACAATGTCGTCAAACCCATTGAGAAGACTGTGTTTGGCGTCAAAGAGGCGGAACAGGCCTTCAGATACATGACTACCGGTAAACACGTGGGAAAAGTGCTCATTAAGATTAGAGATGAAGAAGAGGAGAAGATTGTGGTCACACCTAAAACATTGGTCGTGAAGGCGACCACAAGAACGTGGTTCCATCCCTCAAAGGTTTGCATTGGTTTCACAATTACTTCATTTGTAATCCATATTCATTTGACAGACATATATAATTGTGGGCGGTTTGGGAGGCTTTGGACTGGAGTTGGCGTATTGGACAGTCTTAAGGGGAGCCAAGAAGTTAGTGCTCACGTCGAGGACTGGTGTGAAGAACGCCTATCAGAAGCTCTATTTGAAACGTTTCAAAGAGTTTGGACGACTTATCGAAGACTATAAAATCGATTTAACGGTTTCGACAAATAACTTGACAACACTTGAGGGCACACATCGGCTCATAGATGAGGCCAACGCTAAGGGAGCCGTCGGAGGGGTTTTCAATTTGGCACTCGTTTTGAAGGACGGCTTCATTGAGAATCAAACGGCCGACACATTCAAACAGTGTTGCGAACCAAAGTTCGAGGGATTGCATCATTTGGATGAAGTGACTCGCGCT